ATAATTGCTCAGTTAGCGAGATAGCCATTTGCTCATTGTTAAATAGATTTGCCGCTTCGGCACTTACTTTTCTGGCAAGCTTCGCTCTTTAGATCTTCATGTTTACAATATCATATACAAAAGAAATATAGCAATTTCACATAGAATTACACTAAAATCGTCTATCTGTGTGCAAAATTTGTAACAAAGTGTTCCATGTGAGAAAGCTGAGCAGACATCAAACTGACTAAAGTGCATTTTCTTGTTAGTTGCAATACTGAAAATTGAATGAACAGTTCCTAACTTGTACGCACTTTATCGTTGTCAAAGCCTGCTGTCATTGAGAAATTCTCTGACTGAAAATCTTAAGGAATGAATGTGTGCTTTAACATAATTGCAGCTCCAGACTTTTCCTTGATAAAGTAACCATACCGAAATTTTGTGTAGCTATCTTTAAACACAACTAAGTAACTTTTCTTCTTGGAAAATCCATCAAAAGGTTCACAAACGTTAGCTGAAATTAATTCACCAAACTTGCTTTCTTTCTAATACCAAATGATAAATTGTGTGCATTTTCCATAAATAGCTGGTTCACACAATTTCCTTTCGAAAGACATTTAAATGCCTGATTCTCTCTCAAGCATGTTCTTAACATGACATTTATCTTCACGTCGCTATCTTTGAGGATATAACTGCCACAAAGAATAGTCTGCTGTTGCACCATTAGCTACTTTATACAAAATGCTATATACAGTGGTGGCCAAAATTGTGGACACTTTTGGAAATTTTTATGTTTTTGAACTTTGTATGCTTATAGAACACGTTACGTTTCACAAAATGCAAACTTGTATATATCATTTTAAAGAGAATTTATTACTGAATTCAATACAAAACGCAAAATTCAATTATTTGTAATACAAAAAAAGTTAAACGATAATAGTTATCGTTATACATTAGATAGTGATGATTGCAGTGAGTTATTAGTACTTAGTAGGGTACCCTTTATTTTTGATTACAGCTTCACATCGACGTTTTCATTGAGCTGTCAAGAGTTTTAAGCTCTTCTTCTTTTCGTTATTACATGATGCCAGGAAACAATTATAGCCTCAATTAGTTCCCTTTTATTGATGGGCGCCTCATTCAGACAAGAGTTTTCAAAACGGTGCCACAAATTTTCGATAGGATTGAGGTCAGGACTGTTTTGGCCATGACAACAATTTAATGCTCTTTGTACGAAAACCACTCTTTCGATATTTTGGCCGTGTGGCAAGGAGCAGAATCCTGCTGAAAAATAAACGAAGCATTGTTGGGAAAAGACATCTCTCATGGAAGGTAGAAGTTTTGGTTCTAGAATAGTGTCAATGTATTTTCTGGCATTCAGTGTCCCATCGATGACATGAAGGCGAACCCAATACCATCGCTGACATGCATGACCAAATCATAACACTAACTGGGTTCTTCACAGTTGTTTGAATGCAGTCAGGATGTAGCTCTTCTCCTATTGTACGTCTTACATATTTTCGCCCATCACTACCGAATAACGATATCTTAGTTTCATCACTCCATATAACTTGTGACCACTGATCATCTGTCCAATTAATGTCTTCCTTTGCCCACTGTAGTCTTTTTTTTTTTTTTTTTTTTTCGTTGCTGAAAATTAAGATAAAACATTTTTCGTGGAATTCTACTTCTCAGTCCATCATCTGCTAATCTTCTCCTGATTGTTCTTGAACTGACAGAAACACCAGCATCATTCATATCACTTCTGATGGCCCCTGATGACATTTTTCTATCTTGGAGAAATAGTCTTTTTATTCTTTCTGTCATCAATAGATGTGGGTGCACCTTTTTCTTTTCGGCCTTTTCCTTCTTTGTTTTTTATTGAATTTGTCTCCTGATATCGCAAACAAAACTTTCGGACTCCAGATGTAGTCACTGAACCATCCACTGTCTTACAATTTCAGCATATAAAGACCACTTCTCGTAACACAATAAATTTACACTCTTTCTAGGTGTCCAATCTACTCTTTTATTTGATGTCATTGCTTCTTGACTAAATATTAAAAATTTTTACAAAAATTCCTACTTGTAATTGCAGTCTATAAGAAACAGGTCCTCCTTCTACAGAACAAAGCAAAATAGTGAATTGTTTCAAGTGTAAACATGATGCCAGCTTCTACTGGCAATTACTAACATTTGAATGGTTCTCAGAACAAGAACAGTGATTGGAAAGCTAGACAAACCACTTCATAACTGTGTTTTTTTATTTATATTAAAGTACATATAACTTTTTTTTGTATTGCAAATAATTGAATTTTGTGTTTTGTATTGAATTTAGTAATAAATTCTCTTTAAAATGATATATACAAGTTTGCATTTTGTGAAACGTAACGTTTTCTATAAGCATACAAAGTTCAAAAACATAAAAATTTCCAAAAGTGTCCACAATTTTGGCCACCACTGTATATTACAAGTTCTAAACAACACTACTTAACTACTAACTTTTAACCAGCATTCAGTAGCTGTTGAGATAAATTTACAATTCTGATTTTTGTCTTGAGCAGCAGCAAATAAAGAAAATAAATTTCTGTTTATCTCGGTTATATACCAAACATCATTTAAGTAGATTTTTTGAATTTTGTTAGCTATAGTTGCTTTGACGCAAACTCTGCCTTTCGTAAAAAACAGCTAAAGTTTCTTTTCAAGCAGCCTTGATGTTACTGGCACTATGAAACTTAACGAAATCAATCAGATATGTGAAGCAATTCATGAAATAACTTTAGTGCCACTGTTAATCCAAAATGATGTTGGATCAGTGTCAGCTTGTTCGTGAATGGTCAACAGTGCTACAATGGGTTTATTTCTTGAACGATTCTTGCTGAACCGTTCCTTTCCCCCCTTTTCTTTTTTTTTTTTCAATCGGCGATCTTCTGCACTCATTTACCCCACATCGTTTTTGCTTGCAATAATTACAAATACACTACAAAGTCTGTAATCAGGACTCGTCGGGACTTCGGCGATTCCGGATTAGGGGTTTTTCCGGATTATAGATCATCAGTTTAAATCTGGTAAGATGGCATGCAGAAATTATACAATTAAAAATATGAAACCGTAATTTATGAAATAAAGAGCAATTATGATCTAAAGGGTATCAAATTTTACAAAAAAAAAAACTTACTTAATATTTATTTGTTTACTTTATTAAACATTTCTTTCAACGCGCGCATGAGTAAAGCATACATTACGCACATGCGTAGCGCGTAATGTATGCGCATTCTTTACGCGCATGCGTAAAGTTTGTGGCTTTGAGGTCCGGATTACGGACTTTGTACTGTATCTTCTTTTCTTGATTTTCTACTGAATTTGTCTTTCTTATATTGCTTTTATTTTCCAGATTTTTACGTTACTAATACCACTTATTCACTTGGATTGCCTTTTCCTTTTAAATTCTCTTTTATGAGAGCAAAGCAGCACTGTTAACTCACAAACTGTTCATTTATCTTAACAGTAACAAACTTGATTGTTTGGGTAAGGCATCTAAAATCTTGCAGTTGAGTAATATGTCAGGTAATTTATTTTTCGTTTTCAAGATACCTTATTTGGACCTTAAATAATTCCATTCTTTGATGTTTAAACCACTTTCGATTGCTATGACGAAAATGAGATTTTTCATGTCTTACCTTAGTCAAGATTTGAGACATGATTTCATAGAGACATGCATTAATGCAAAGATGAAGATAATATGCTTGCTTTTACATCTGTTATATTAATTAGCTTAGTAGTAAAGGCATTCAGAACAATCAAGGAAGAATCATAGGTGTAATTCCACAGTGATAACAAGTATGCTAGTTTTAAAGTCAGCCAGTATTACGTGATATGAGCAAGGTCACTTTAGTTCTCCACCGATGGCTGCCAGAGAGGTATTGCTCTGTGCAGTCACAAATTCACTGCTACTGGACTAGAGAAGAAAGCTGGTAGCACTTAAAGATCTTTCTGCAATTAGTTATTAAGATTATTAAGATTTCTGCTGTTAGTTATCATTAGATCTTTCTGCTATTAGCTATCTAGCAAGTTCTCCACACCACTTAGATTAAGTTTAACGAAACGATCAAAATTGTTTAATTTTATACTCTTTGAGAAAACTTCAATTAAAAATATTAGGTGCGGTATGGGAGCTTGCTCGACTCATAATTAAAAAAGTTTCTGAAAGTAAAGCAAAAAAAAAAAAAATTAATTGGAATTACTAAATTAACTATATTATTGGAACTTTACAACATTGTGAAGTGCGAGCAAGCGAATCAGCACCTAATGATAGCAAAAAGAGTGTTGCCAAAACTGATAAACTTAATTACACATTATTATTATTTCTTATCATAACATACTTTAACAGTTTTGCAGGAAACATAGAATGCTGTTTTGTAATGAGCTTGAAACTGTTTTATAAGGAGGGTAATCAAATAGTCTAAATAGTGTTTCTTTCAGATAAGGATACTTGAATATGCATTCTTTTAAAGTAAAAATCATGAATAAATTGCAAAAACATCTTATAAATTGTTTGAATGTGAGGCTTCATATTTAAGAGAAACAGAATAAGACATTTTAAGGGGAGAGGGAAAATTTATATTTGAACCAATATGGTAAGTTCCTTCTTTACATGTTAGATTGTGTACCTGAAGTACTTTATTTTTATTTTTGCTATATGCTACCTTCATAATATTATTATTGATATTATTTTAATAATAGTTTGTGATCAAAATTAATTTTTTAAGTACTCTTATGATATCGGGACCGCATTCAAAAATGTATGTATGTCTGCAAGTGTGTATATGTCTATGTGCATATATGTTTGTGTGTAACACGCACATACGTACGTACATGTATACACACATCCATTTATGCATGCATATATGAACACGTACATCCATGTATACGTGCATTCATTTCTGAACATGGTCCCAATAACAGAAGAGTATCCTTTTTTTATTATGTATGTAAAATATTTTATTTCTTGTTTTAGGTGCAGCAGCCAGATGATTTGGTTACAGAGATGAAAACAAGTTATGAAAATTACTGCAGTTGTGGAAAAGAAAATGGTGTTTCTATGCCCATATGTTTTCTTGTAAAAGAACAAGCCAAATCATTAGTTGCCATTCAGGTTTGTATTTTTCTGGGCATACTTTGTAAAATATAGTGAATCAGAAGTGTCAAATACAGAATGAATATTCTCGCCTGTTAGTTTTTTTAGGTCACGGTAAAACTCTAAATATTTGGAAAAATCTGCATATTTGAGTTTTCTTTCTTCTACTGGCTTACTGCTTAATGCAGTTATGAACTATACCTGTCGCAGCCCCGGGTATTAGCTCACTTGCTCTTTCTGTTTTGCTTATGATGCCGTCTATTAACACATATGGCAAGTGCATTGCTATAAAGTCCCAGTGTCTTTGCAAATGGTAATGACCTTGGGGACTAACATGGTCTGCTTCATAGCAGTCGAGTATAGTACCACCATTGAAAAAGTGCACTTATAAGATCACCTCTGATATTTGAACCAGTGGTGTAAATAAGGGTATGCAAGGAATGCCATCGCATAGGGGCCCGAAGGCTTAGGGGTCCTTTAAATATCCTGCTGAACTACATTTACATGTTTAAACTTTAAGACAGATTCCATTACATATATATAGAAGCTTTAGTTCATTTTCCCTTGATGAGTTCGGAATTAGAATTTCTATAAAAGAAGATTAATTATTATTTTTATATTTTTTATTTTTTTTTTTGCTTTTCATTTTTATTTTTAGAATTTGTACTACTATAAATTCTTATTTTAATTTTGATATGTTTTGATTTTGTGTTAAACCCCTTTTACACGATTGTTAATATTAATATAGTTGAGGAATAGCCTTGATTTGACTCCAATTTACTTTTAACTTTAGAATCTTTAAGTATATGTAGATAATAGAATTCGTTTTTTTTTTTTTAAGTTTTTAAGGGCCCCCTACCTATATGGTGCAGTGATGCAATTCTCTGTATGACGCAGATAGGAGGCCCTTGGAAGCACCTGAAACAGCTAAATTCAAGTGTTTGCAAAAGTTAAAATTCCAGCATTCGACTATGAAATAATAACTTCATGACCTACCCCAGTTTAGGGACAGCAGTGAGAAGAAAATAGGAAAAGTTTTTTTGTATTCCTTAGTCTCAAACCTATTAAAGGCGACCCCCTAAAGGAAAGGTTTCTCCTTTTGCAATCCCAAATCAAAAAGCGGTGGAAGTGGAAATTAATTGTAATTATTTATTATAAAGTACTTATATATTAATTTGTTTCTGTATAATTCGCATTATGATCGAATAATCAGTAGACATATTTTCTAAGTATAAATCAAAGAAGTAACTAGGCAGGATTCTGGTACTTTGGAATGAACTTTGCAAGTTAAGAGAAATCGTGGTATATTATTTGCAGTTCGTAATTTTCATAATATGTCATTCCGGTAGCGTTTAATTTTGTTCATATATTGAATCTCTTACTAGCTTTTCCATTAAACGCAAGTCCAAAAATCAGTCCTAATATTCAATTTGAAATTGAATTTATTAATGTGAATGATTCTTAGAATTTAATATAACATGTATTTCGTTGGTTCGCTATAAACGGCGTATCACTTTTCAAATTGTTGCCACCAAATAATTTCACCCTGTATTATTTTTAAAGAAATTAAATAAGGAAGAATCTGCATGTTTGAATGTATAGTTCTCACAATGTAAAAAACGATGGTACTTGCAACCTGTGCAGTCGCACCAAGAGGCAAGGTAAGGGACAGAAACATTTTGGATTTAGAAGCACGATTGACATTACAAAATGGCAAAGTTAAAGGCGGATCGATTTTTTTCTCTGTTTTTAACACTAATAAGCTGGAATCTGGAGGGGGAATCATTCGTAAGTATTTGCTAACTCCAGAATACATGCTTTTCTTTCTTAAGGACACAAAATCATTGACGTAAGTTGAGCAGTTGTGGCATGAAAGGACTTTGCCCCACCCCCATGTCGAAATGCCGTTCTAGTCCAGGAAACGCAAAGAATTTATGGCACCACATTTGGAAAGGAGAGATTTCCCGTTCGGCTTAGGGATCTTTGAATGAATTCAAGGTCCGAAAAAAGGGGGGGAAGTTTTACGACAGGCTACGAACACACAGATGCTCAAACATTAAGCGGCCAAATATTTCAGTTAATTTCCGGCATAAATTTAATGAAATTTTTTCATTAAATTTATCGAAATTCATTACTTTTTCACTCATGGGGGTAGGAAATGGAATGGATGAATATTTTTACTTGAAATAATGAGTAAATAAATATTTATCCAATTTTTCATATCAAAATTTTCAAAATATTCTCACATTGCAGATAAAATGCAGGTTAGGAATTCTTTAAAATCCCTAATCGAGAATTAAATCTGAAAGCACAGAACTCGTTTGAGGATTTACTTGATTTGCTTTAGAAAAGAGAAGAGCTGTAGTGTTTCTTAACCTGTAAATTACCCATCTACCAAAAATTCACACTTATCTGTAAAAGATAATTCTGAAGACATTAAATTTGTTTTGAAAGTAATATATTAATCTCTCTTCATATCAATATCTTCGTTTGAAAAAATATAATAAATTACAATTTTTTTAACAACGTGAAACATTTAAGCGTATAATTGAGTAATGCGCAATAATTTGTACGTTATTTAAACGGAATTGAATTGAATTATTATATAATAATAAAGCACTCGAGGACTATTTGCCTAAGGGGAAGAACGCCTTCATGGAGTACTTTCTAATCGTTATTTGAAATGAAATTTTACAATTTACTTTACTTTTGCTTTTAATTTACTTTCCACAGCATTCAGTACGTGAAATCATCAATAATAATATAATAATGATAATAAAATGAAAAATAAAATGGCATCGCACAACTAAAAGTATATACTACTACTCGTAAATTTCGATAAATTAATTACTGAAAATATTAAACATATCAATGGCAGCGTTGCCCTAATAGTTTTAAGTTGCATTTCAACATCTGAAAGAACGCGAATTACATTGCTATTTTCACTACACAAACGAATGGAATATTTCAGAAAAGAATGCTTCCCCCCGTTATTGCAATATTTCAATAATTTTTGCAAATTAAAAAATTTAATTAACACGTTTTAATAGTAAATGATGCGATTTTCACTCATAAAATCCCTTTGTACATTATTATCTCTTTCATTTCGGCATCACTGCATAACTTTTCTAAGACATAAATAGCTTCCGTTAATATATGTTCTCATACATTATATTTATTTTTTTTATATTTTGTCATTAATAAATTAATGATTAAGATAAAAAAATTGATACTGCTTAATTTATAAGCAATGTAAAGACTGGAAATCTGAGGTCATTAATTTCTGAGACATAAATAGCTTTCTAAGACGCAAATAAAACAGATAACAATAATCATAAATATTAATGCTCCTAAAATATATCCGCTTTTCCTAACTGATTTTTGCTTTCTGATCCACCTGGGGTACAACAAACCTATTTTCATTAAATGAAGTTTTGCGCATTTCTCTACGAAGTACGCAAAACTTGTTTCATACAATTTTATTTTTACTAATTATGAAGAAACTTTATACTTGTTTCCTAAACAAGTATTTATGTGTACTACTTTCATTCGACAGAGTGCGAGTACTAATCTTCAAATATACGTTAGTGTCAATAAGCTTAACTCTAAATTATTAAACATTTATGTGTACTACTTTCATTCGACAGAGTGTGAGTACTCATCTTCAAATATACGTTAGTGTCAATAAGCTTAACTCTAAATTATTAAACATTTCTGGAACCTTGAAACTTAGAAGGGAATTGTTATATTTTGCTATAGTGGGTATTTAAATTTAGATAAATCCTCATACCATAAGTATTTTGTGTTTAATTTTAAAATTTCCATTTCGTATTACACAATCATTTTCAAAGCTCTTTGGATACATATCAATAAAATTTGTTTCTACCTGTTTATGATTTCATCGTAAACTTGTGAAGAATTTCCTAAAAATATTCGAATATCCATAATTTTTACTGTTAAATATTTAATAATTATACATTAACTGAAATGCATTTATAGTACAGAGGAAATGTAGAAAGATATTGCAGGTGATGTATTATGTATCATTGGAATATGACAATAATAATAGTACAATTTGACTGAAGGGAAAAAGAAAAAAAAAAAAAAAAAAAAACAGATGTTTCAGCGTTTTAAAAGGGAAATGGACAATGGACATCTTTACAGTAAAGTCTTGGATGAAAGTTTTACTGTGACTCAACTTGGGAAGACACTGGAAATTTATAGTGGAGGCGGGGTCCTTTTTTTTTTGTTAAACAGCTGCATTGAAGGGTGATTTCAGGTTCCTTTCTTCATTAAGTTATTGAAGGGTGATTTCAGGTCCCTTTCTTCATTAAGTTATTGAAGTGTGAAACGCTACCCCTCAAGTATACTTGTAAATTGGCTGATGACTCAGAACAGTAAACTGAACTTAAACTTCCTGTTATTCTAATGCCATTTCTCTAGTCTATGGCGAGAACAAACTTTTAAACTTTAAAATTTAATTTTGAAGAAGTTTTTCTTTAAAATTAAATTTCAAAGTGATCTCAAATATAATTCTTCATTATAAAAGTAAGTTATTGATTTGTAATATCTAAATTAATCATAAACTAAGTTCTTATAATTTAAAACTTGCTAAAAATTCAATTTGGCTAAACTTTTAATCCATTTATCTGAAAAATCCAAAATTATCACCATTAACAATGCAAATGTCTACTAATATTAATAACGTATTGTTATATTAACATGAAATATTTTTATGATAAATATGAAATATAAATATAATCTATGTTTCCATACATTAAGAAACATCATAACAGGCCAAAATTAAAAACAAAATTTTTTAAACACGTCCTGCGCTATAGTGCAGGATCGATCAACCCATCAATCGGCTCGACAATCGAAAATCAATCGACTTGAATGGAGCTCATCAACATCTAAAAAGCGTTTCTATTAATATGCAAGATATGAGAAACAAGTTTGAAGACATTATGAAAGAAGCTGAGTTTATTGCAAATAAATGGGGCATAGAAACTAAATTTGGGAAAATAAAAGAGAAATAAAGAAACTAAAACACTGTTATTGTTAACAAATATGGAAATTATTAATAATGTTTCAAAAATACAGAAAACATATAAAGAAGACTTGCACTGGAAGTACAACTTTTATTATTTATAAATACTTTCAGAACAGAAATCCAAAATTTGAAATCCGTTAAGGATTTAGCTAAATTAGCAATGGTAAAATATTATGACATGACAAGCAGTTATTCGGGAGTGTGCAATTCACTTATATTGTATTTATCATTACCTGTAACCACAGCCACGAGTGAGAGGTCATTTTCAGTACTGAAAATTATAAAAACATATTTAAGTAACAGTATGACACAAGATCGGTTGTCAAACCTTTCACTATTGAGCGTTGAATCTGAGATGGCTGAGAAAATGGGCATCCAAGTATTGATTAATAATTTTGCAAAAATGAAGGTTAGTTAGGAGACGCAAATTTTAAAAGGATTTTTTTTTTCTTTATGATGAATTTTGGCCACCAATGTTATCATTACACTTATTGAGGGAGGAAAAAAATTAGAAAGAAGAGCAGTACGGACTGAGGAAAATTAAAAGGAAACAGTAAAAAACTTTAGCATTCATATTTTTTTATAAAAATCATGTATTCAAGTAGTTTAGTGTACCAAAAGGTTTTTTAAAAAGACAGAAAAAACTTTACCATACATATTTTCTACAAAAATTGTATGTTCAAATATTTTTCTTTATGAAGTTTATGATAAATATGTTTTATATTTAAAAAATGTATCATTTACATTATAAAGTTCTTATTTAACTTGTATATTATTGCATAAATCATGTTCGTAAGCTGAGTAAATCACAGAGACTTACTATACATTAATGTAATAGCTTTTCTGTACGTTTATCAATTATCTTGTCTGTCAGTTTATAATATAACTAATTATTTATAAGTTTGCTAACTTAAGCGAAAAAACTTAGATAGGCGCAGATTTTATATAAAAATTTAAAACATTAGTATGTAAAACTTCTTGGATTTTATATAAAAATCTCCGCAAATCTAGGCTTTCTTCCTTTTCTTAATGCTATACGTCGACATGTTCCTTTTTTTTTTTTTTTATATATATATATATATATAGACTTATTCATTTATTATCAGTATGCATCTGAGTAAAAGGAGAAAAAAATCTGTCTCTCGCTCTCACACAAAAAGTCTTAAGTAACTGAATTAAAATCATCTGACGTCAAATACCCAGACTAAAGCAAATTTTCATTTCACCAGTTGGTCAAGGGAAATTATTTTTCTTTTTATTCTTTCTTCATGTTACGTACCTTTCAATTGGTTCCCTCTAAGAACGTACTTTTATTTTTTAACAATTAATCCAGATGTGATAAAAAATCATCATAAAAACATTGCCTCCTGGAATCCTTTTTTAACACATTAAACTGATTGGGAAAGGGGCCCAGAAAAAATTTTTTCCATAGGGGCCCAAGAGTTCTATTTATGCCACTGATTTGAACTCTTTATGGTGCGAGTGTCTGATTGGCTCTCAGGACCTCTACACAGCAATTTCTTTTCCCATAATTCGTAATGGGAGGAATTTTTTTCATTTATCCTCTTTTATTTCAACAAAAAATATGCAATTAAAAATTATTTCCATAAAAAATAGATAACCTTTTTTTATCAAAATTATATTTTTTGCTTGCCTAATCATATAATCCATTTACATTTCATTGAAGCTATGATTGATGTTATCTTTTATGCCTAAACTGTAAAACTTAACACATGATCTTGTCACCCTCATACTAAAATTAAAATGCGGCATATAAAAGCTGAGATTTTTTAGCAAATGCTTTATTGCTGGAGTTTGAGAGTCAGCTTGTGCAAGAATTTAAAATTATTTACAGATAATTCGATCACAAAAAGGCTAAATAATTGAATTTTTTAAATTTAATTATAACATTAAACAAATTTCTCAATTCTAGATCTGCAGTTTCCTAATTAATGTTGTGTTAGATAACTTTGTACTATGCATTTGATAAAATGTATTTATTATTTATTTATTTTTAGGATTTGCAGAAACGTGTGGAGTTTGTTGAAAGTGTACAAGATGATGTGGTAGATTCTGTTGCAGAGTTTTGGAAATGCCTCTGCGATAATTCAAGAAGTGGTAATTTGAGTGATACATCAGATTCTGTGCAGGGTCTAAAAGGCCTCAATTTATCAACTAAGTCGAGACTCTTTCCAAAGTCAGGTGCACGCAGATGTTCTCATTCATCTTTGAAACCCATTTTTGATGATTCTTCTTTGCCACCAAAGCTTAGATCATATTCTTTGAAAGAATTAGACAATGTTACTAGCCTCTGTAAAAAACGTGGTATATCTGTACAAGAACAATCACAGAAATTTTTTGATTTAGTGAAAAGTAAAGACTCTGCCTTGGAAAGTGATAAGCAGGATAGTGGGTTGGATTCGGACTGTCGTGACCATAATGATGGTCATGTTTCATTACATAAAGATATAAATAATTGGGAAGAGTCGGATTCAAATGATGAATTGCTGATCTTGTTAGATGAAATATCACACAGATCTGAAATTCTTCAGCAACAACTTGCTGCAGCTGAAGAAAACTGTATCTTAGAAAGTGTAAAACAAGAGATGTCAGCTTCTCAAATTGAAAATGGAGTTCATCCTAGTTTGCAAAGGGTTCCTGGAGTAAATGATACATTTACTGCAAAACAGGGCCATTTCAGATCTATTAATTGTGATCCACCATATGTGAAAGATAGTCAACAGAAGTATTATAGCACTATTATTGAAGGACAGGAACATGTCGCAACAGAGGATGTGCCAAAAACGAAGAAGTTGACATGTAGCGGTGCCTTAGGAGAGAGCTTTGAGAAAAAATCGGTGTTTGATAAAACACCAAAAAAGAAAAGGCTAGCTTCTAACAATATTGACAGTGCCATGGTATCATCAGTTTTGAAAGAGACTAATGTGGTTGATTTACAAAGACAAGTATTAATTTATCTGGTTGAGAATGCTGTATTACAAACAAAATTGGTTGAAGTAGAACAAATTTTAGCATGCAAATTATCAGAAAAGGACAAAATTGAAAATAGTCTGAAAGATGAAACTCGGCTGCTGATGATGGAAAACAGAGAATTGCGGATAAGTTTAGATGAGCAAAAACTTGAAGTGAATGTTTTAAAGTCAAAATTATCAATGCTTGAGAGAGTTCTTCAGTCAGTAACTGTTGAAAACAGAGAGCTAAACTGGCAGTTAGGTGAGTCACTTGGACTTCCAAATTTACCTAGAAGAGACATAAATTTTTCTCCTGGTTTTACCTACGGAAATTCTGCTTCATCAAAATGTTTAAGGAAATCTAGTTTATTATCTCAGGATAGGAATAGTGCTTATAATAAATCTAAATCACAGTCAAATACTAATAGCTTTCTTGGTAGCACACTGGAAGAGACTGAAGAATATCCACTTTCTCGCAATAGATCTGTGTCCAGTGTTGCTCGTAAACCTTTGAGCGAACCTCTTCAATCATCTACACCAGTGATGCCTTCGCCCAAACCAAAAGATTTAAAATCAAAGAGTGTTTTATCTTCTCAAGATATTCCTGTTCCTACTAATTTTCAATCTGTTAAGAAACGCTTGAAGGCTAATTGCAATATTGAAAGAGAAAATGTGTCAAGAAACCTTCAACCAGAGAAAAGTCAGGAAGTTTTTGTAAGCAATACATGTGATAAAGATGTAACATATCCTACCGAAACGGGTGAAGCTGTGCTGCCAATAGGAAATGCCAAATTTCCTTTCAGTACTATACTTGAAAGGCTTAAATCTAATTCTGATTACAGATTGTCAAAGAGGCCTACAAGTGCTCAGAATCCTGAAGAGTCTTCTAATTCTTGTACTGACCAAACAAAGCCATATTTTAATAGTAAAGTAAGAAATTTAACTCCTCAAGTAGTGGAAAATAGTTTTTGTAGTGATAGGAAATCTCAAGGAAGCAATCAAAATATTTCGCAGGAAAACTGTGAAAATAATACTAATTTTCAGAGTAGGAAAGGTCGTAACATTCATCAGAGGATACAAGATATCCTAGATAGAATCATGGCTGAATCTGAAGAAGCATCTTAGCTTTCTCTTCATTAAAATATATATTTTCCTGAAATTTTATATAATTAGAAGTGATATATGTTTAGTCAGAAAATTTTATCACTTTGTATATTTTTAAGTGCCCTTAGATTCATAATTTATATCAATTAATCATTTTATTGTGTTCACGCACTTTATTTATTTTTTAATAAAAAGCTTTACACATTTCTTAACTAAGGAATATTTTATTTATTTTTTATAAATTATTCATGTGCAACTGAAAGAGAAATATGCCAGTGTAAATATTAAAATTAGATAAAAAAAAAAGCTAGTAACAGTCATGTAGATTTTAAGCATAACTATTGATTTTAAGGACAATTTAGTATAGGTCTCTTTTGTTCAGAGGGAGAGGGTTTTCTTCTTTTTTTGAAGAAGAGGTACCTATGACAGTTTGGTCCTCAAAACTGATAATTTTATTCTATCTACATTTACCTAAAACTATTTTTTTTAAATTTAAATTTTATTTGTAATAAGGCAGCTGAATTTGATAATTTTATTCTATCTACATTTACCTAAAACTATTTATTTTAATTTAAATTTTATTTGTAAGTTCTTAAAATAAGGCAGCTGAATTAACAAAACTTTGATTTAATTTGAAATTTAGTTTATAAAAAAGATGCATAAATTTCTTTATATTTGTAGATTTTTATTCTTGAATTTATTTCCATCTTCACAAATATTTATTAGTAAAACGATGCATGTAGTCTTCTTACACTTTTTTTATTATGTTTATTTTTCACTTTAAAATTTATTTTGAGGGACCAAACATTTCATGCCATTAATGCTTGATAATAGTTCATAATTTTCTTGGAAACAATGACTCTTTATTTCAATGCTTTGAATATGTGCTTTATTTTGTATTTGTGCATATATGTTCAAGTGATATTTAAAAATAGTTCAGCAATACTTTAAAGAGTTTTTCCGAAATAATATTAAAATATAACCCATTGCTGCTTATGTGTATACTGCAGGAGCTTTCATTATCACATGAATTATTTTCTTATACCCGATTTGAGTAAGTTTTAGAAGGATTCAGATTTTATTAATAGATGTAATAGGATGAATTAAGAGCTTTTGACAGAAGGATCTAGCACAGTATATAAAATACATTACCTGATATTTCTGTTCTTTTAAAAAATTTTCATGCTTTAATATTTATAAATTCCAGATTTTATTTTTGTTCATATACTCAGAACTAGATCTTTTTTTAAGCATTTTCTTTTTATATAGTTAGTTCTTTTAAAATCATTAAATTAAAATTTAAGATAAACTTAATGACAGACAAAACTGGCGATTTGTTGTACGTGAGAATTGCACATCCAGAACAAGTGATGTGTAAATTTGGTATTTTATGCTAAATCCAGTGGAAAAAATGCATTTAAAAAATGATAAAATTCCAATTTTATTCTATAAATTGTCATTTAAAAAAGCTTTAAAGAAAATGTTTTTTAAAAGAGCATTTTTATAAGTTTTAGTTGTATAATATTGTAATTCATTTTGTGCTGTTCTGTGTAAATTTGGCCTTATCTGAATATTTCCTCTTTGTACTCTGAAAGTGCTAATTTTGTATATATGTAAAACTTCAGTTATTTTGTAGCTGAGTATTTGTGTTCTATATATTTGCTGAATAAAAAGTTGCATACATTTTAATAACTTTTGGTGTGTTTTAATAAAATGGAACTGTACATTTTCAAGTATTCTTAAAAGCAATTAACGATTTGTACATGCTAGCTTTTGAAAATACTTGTATTTCTACTTATTTTATAACTTCATAAAGTAATATATATATACAGTGGTGGCCAAAATTGTGGACACTTGGAAATTTTTATGTTTTTGAACTTTGTATGCTTATAGAAATGTTACGTTTCACAAAATGCAAATTTGCATATATCATTTTAAAGAGAATTTATTACTGAATAGATAGTGATGATTGCAGTGAGTTATTAGTACTTAGTAGGGTACCCTTTATTTTTGATTACAGCTTCACATCGACGTTTCATTGAGGTGTCAAGAGTTTTAAGCTCTTCTTTCGTTATTACATGATGCCAGGAAACAATTATAGCCTCAATTAGTTCCCTTTTATTTGATGGGCACCTCATTCGGACAAGAGTTTTAAATGGTGCTCATTCATAGTTCATTTTTCTATCTTGGAGACATAGTCTTTATTCTTCTGTCATCAATACATGTAGTGCACCTTTTTCGGCCTTTTCCTTCTTTGTTTTTTATTGAATTTGTCTCCTGATATCGTAAACATAACTTTCGGACTCCAGATGTAGTCACTGAACCACCCACCTGTCTTACAATTTCAGCATAGGGTGTGTGTGTGTGATTATGGCAAAGCCTCGAGGGCTATCTGCCTAAGAGGAGGGATGCCTTCGTGGAGGACTTTCTAAGGGAAACTGGCTCGTATACACGTTACACATGGGGAAAACCACGAAAACGCCCATGCAGTCAGCCCGTTCGCGGGATTCGAACCTCGGACCGAACTACCAGTGTTCAGCGATTTTACCGCTCAGCCGCTGGTGGGCTAATTTTTTCAGCATAGGAAAGACCACTTTCTCGTAACACAATAATATTATATCTCTTTCTAGGTGTCCAATCTACTCTTTTATTTGATGTCATTGCTTCTTGACTAAATATTAAAAATTTTTACAAAAATTCCTACTTGTAATTGCAGTGTATAAGAAACAGGTCCTCTTTCTACAGAACAAAGCAAAATAATGAATTGTTTCAAGTGTAAACATGATGTCAGCTTCTACTGGCATTTACTAACATTTGATTGGTTCTCAGAACAAGAATGGTGATTGGCCAGAACATTACAAACCACTTCATAACTGTGTTTTTTATTTATATTAAAGTACACATAACTTTTTTTGTATTGCAAATAATTGAATTTTGTGTTTATTGAATTCAGTAATAAATTCTCTTTAAAATGATATATACAAGTTTGCATTTTGCGAAATGTAACATTTTCTATAAGCATACAAAGTTCAAAAACATAAAAATTTCCAAAAGTGTCCACAATTTTGGCCACCACTGTATTAAACTTTTTCACTTTTTTATTATTTGTAAGTAGCATGAATTATTTATAAAAATGTATTAAAATTTTGTTCATTAATTTATGCCTTCAAAGAACAAATGGAAGGGCTGACAAATTCCAAAAGAAGGAAAAGAAAAGTTGCTTAAAAGATAAGTAGATGGGGTTATAGAAAGTGGATACTGTATTAATAATTAAATTTATCTAGCAAGTATGTCTTTTCCGCATTTGAAACTGTTTTCTCCATTTTGCAATGATATAGTTTATTCAGGTTATTTGAATAGGGTAAAGCATATGAGGGTTGGTTATCTGTCCATGAAAAGGGATGTCATTGTGGAAGATTTTCTAAGGATAAGTGACTTGTACTAACATTATACATTGGGAAAACTAACCTTGCAATCAGCTCGTTCACCTAGGATCCAAATCCCAGTATTCAGTGATTTTAACCACTTGGCTGCTTATGAGACAAATGATTTAATTTGCTTGCCTACTTTTTATTGTTGGAAAAGTTTTTAATTACTCATTTTAATACAAAATTTGAATGCAAACAGAAAAATTTCTGCATAGTTTGCTGCAGAATGTAAGCAAAATTGTTTAAAAATCCTGCTTCAGCAGAAACTGGTGTTTGAATCCTGTATTTATTTGGTAGAGCATGTATTTTGAACTTTTGTTTGGGGTGGTAGTAATCTGGAAATTAGCATTTATTTTGTTCCTTTTTTTTTTGTGTAACATGGTCAGCATTTTGATTGCTTGAGATAGCTATCATTGCAATCACCATTTGCTCTGAATTCAAATTTTTAAATGTTTTAAATTTTGCCATTATTTTAAAACTAAAATTCTACTAATGTTTTTTTAATACATAAATAATTTTTAATAGTGTAAAATAACCATGAAGAATAACACTTTTAATATCACACATTTCCATTTACTGTACATATAAGTTCAAATTACTCAAAATGTTACATAAACAACAATAAAACAACAAACTGTATATGAACATCAACACATTTTTATACATAAAAAATACAATTAAGTGATTTAAACAGCAGCTATAAATTATGAATTTTGAATTACAATATAAAATATGGTTTAAAAACATATGAATTAAATAACTAATGTAAATGTTATTTTATCAGACTGAAATCATAGTTTTTGCATCAAATTGATATAATATTCACTTAATAAATTTATATTTTATCACATAGACCCATAATTTTTTTAAATATATAAATCAGAGTTAGATATTCATTATTTTTAACATACTTAAAAAGTTTAAGAAAAATATGCAGAATTAACATATTATTCTGATGTTACTTCATTAAAGTATAATTTGTAGCAAAATATTTAAGAAAAAGCAGCATTTTTGGTGTTTAAAAAGAAATTTGCTTCACAATAAAATTTAGTTTGAATATATTTTTATACTCTAGAGAGAAGCAAAAAAATTCTTTTTCTAAAAATGATCATTCTGAATATATTAACTTAAATAAATTAATAAGTTGATGCACTATTTGATGTATATTGCAGAATAGCATAAAATAAATAACAAAATATTGAGTTATCAGAAGTTCAGTATTGTAAAATCCTGTAAAATTAAAGAATATAAAAAAGCATATTAAAGTAAATATACTATCTACTTTATATTTTTAATATACAAATTTAATTTATTACAGTTTCAAAAGAATGCTGAGTGAGAACTATTCAAATTTTTTTAAAGCAAAATTAAATTTAATCGTAATATATTTGTGAACATAAACTTCAGTAAATGCATAAGAAAAATATAAAAATAACACAAAATTCAAATTTACTTTTATTGCATTAAAAGTGTACATTAAAAAAGAGAAATAAAAGACTCTTCCTTTCTCCAAATAATAATAATAATAAATATATTGCATATAGCTTAAATATAATTTAAACATGAAATCAAATTTAACAAAAAATGTTTGAAGATTTTTTATCCGTCAGTACCCCTAAATGGCTGACTGTTCCTAGTAATAATTAAATACTATAATCTCCACTCAACAATATGCGCTGTTTCATTTATAGGAACTAAAGCAAGAATGTAAAACATATTATCCACTAAATTTTTCCCTATAGAATTGATTTAATTTATCTAAAATGTATATCACATGCTTAATAACTTTATATGAATAGTAGTCTACACAAGTGTTCATTGAAATTTTAAGCATAGATTTGTATGGAAATAAGTAAGAATAACAAAGTAAATGGCACTTTAAATAAGAAATGAATTAATTTCTGTGTGCTTATATAAATCTCTGCTACTGTGCCTTGATTATGTATCTTAAGAGCTCGTTATAAGCTTTAAGTTACGAAAATATATGCTTCTAAAATCCATCTCAAAAGGGGATGTATACAGTAAAAGTACAATGGCATTCTTTGGTGAAAAATTAATGTCCTTATTTAGACATTTTGATTTCAAAACGCTCATTATGCATACACACACACATACACTTTTATGTAGAATATACACATACAACACAAAAGTTAATTACAAAGTAACAGTGAAAAGGTATTAATGTGCATAAAACATTCTTTACATAATATATATAACATGGACAAAAACAATAGATACTCATCCGTACCACCATGTGTCATTTACAAATGCTTACTGAAGATATTTCATACTTTTAAAACCCTTACTTTTCATGTATATAACATGAAGATTGTCAGCTGTATCAACATCTATATTATATAGTCAGGGATATACACATAATACTAAAGGGAGAGGATGATAGCTTTTTAAGTGTATACTTTGAAAAAAAGTATATCACCTTTCCTCAAGATATTTTTTTTCTCTTTCCAAAAGATGTTTATATAGCATGGAATACAAGTTTTTGATTGTCAAACAGTATGAATTTAATCACATCAGAAAATTTCAGTCACAAATGTTGGGCATATCTTTGATGCACATATAGCAAAACTTCTTATAATATAATACATAATAGAGTACTAGGTAATATGCTTCTTAGTAAATCTTGAAATTTTACAAAAAAAAAAAAAAAGCATCCATATACACACTAAACATTCTTTTTAATGTATCAACATTAATATGTTCTTTAAAGTTTTGGGATAAACAACAGCTTTAACCTTTCACAAAGTTTTTGATAAACAACGACTTTAACCTTTCACTACCTGGAAAAGATATTCTGTATCTTCATATAGGGAACACATATATTTCAACATGCTGAAGCTACATTATTTTTGAGATAAATATATATATTTTTTTTTATTTGAAGGCATTTTATAACGTTTTAATTAGAACTGAAGTGATATTTCATATTGTGGGTAGAAGCTATGATAATTTTGCCTTCTTTAGAGTAAATTCAATTGGCATTCTTAAAATATTTCATAATATACTTATATTTTATTTTTATGGCTTATATCCATAATTTTTTTAACAGTTTCAGATTATGGAAAACACAAAATTTTATTTTAAAGCCTGAAGAAATCAGAATCTGTTAAAATCCTTAAAGCTTTTCCAAAAATAATGTATTTGTCTAAACTATGAAAAACAAAAGTTAATATGCAATGGTATTAACTGAGCTGAAGGTGTAATAAAGAACTAACTATACAGAAAAGTTGGCACTATGGCCAAATACAAGTTTAATGGAAGACTTAAGTTTCTAATACTTTACAATGATGGTAAAAAGTTGAAACTATTTCTTGAAATAGAAAAATATATATAAATTCATGCATGAAACGTATATGTAATCAAAATGTGAATTTCTAATGAAGCCATAGTAATAGCTTGCAAAAATAAATGCAGTATGACTGCTTCCCCTATTGTCCCCAAAAGTGCAACTGAGATAAAAATATATAGGAGTTAACTGCTAAGATACATTCCATCATTAAGGAAGGTATATTTGTAGTGATATCTACTTCAGATATGGAAGAATATATTACATCATACTGACAACTATAAAAAGAGAGAGAGAGGTGAAATAGCATTTATTTAAAAAAGTTGAGTAATAGAATGAAGAACATTAGACACATATTTATAATTTATTATATTCAAAGACTGGCAAAAGGAAAAACTAGGTTCAGCTGTTATCTGAACCTTTTCCAAGTGTCTCAATGATAAATTCACATGAGATGCTGCAAGGACACTTATATTATACTGTTGTAGATGTTCCTCCAGACTGTCTTTTATGTATTTCTAAGAAAACTTTGAAGCATCTTTTGAGGTCTGCCGATTTGGCCAATCATTTTTTATTGTGAAAATGGTTAAACAGAAATTACTGGATTGCTTGAAAGGAACAATTAGGAGCTTCTGGGTTCTTTCTTAGTGTAAGGTTTTTTTAAAAAAGTCAAAATATCAAGAAATCATGACAGTAATTTACAATAGTATAATACTTCAATTAGAGACTAAAACTGAAAATTCTTACACTTTGATTTCAATAATGAACTACCTGCTGAAATCAAGGGTAATACTGCAGATGAAAAATCATACATGAAAGATAAATCCAATTCAAAACTAAAGCTACTGAACACTTACAGAAGGACACACTTATAAAAGGAAATAAAACAATGCATTGCAAAAATGTTTGGAACAAGATTAGAAAAATGTAGTTTTACAGAAATTGTAAGCAGAAAGAAAATATTTATTTTAAAAATCATTTTACTCTTGTCAGTGCTACTACACAAGTCTATTTAATGGAGGATTTTTTTGTGAATGTATGGAAAAAATTCCCATGCACCATGTAAAACTACTTCAAAAACCTACATCTTTCTAGTCAGCCAGTTCTTACAGTAATTTGGTATTTCTCTTCACATCCAATTTCAGACTACAGCAAATCAGCCTAATTTTTTTTTTTTTAATATTTACTATCACTGTAAAAACAATAATAATTACAAAAGACATGGTAGCAGTTACATATTCATGTTCTGAAAGCAATTAATATTTATATTCTTTTTTAATGAATTGCATTTACTGTACATTATTTATGCAATTTTTATTTTAAAATGTCTTATAAATGGTACGAGTTGTTTTCTCTAATGTGTACTGTACAAAAAGAGATGTATTGCTAATGTTTTTATAGCTTTTCTTGCAGATTTAGCACAGCATATCATTCGAAATTATATTTATTTGCATAAGGTGGTTTTTATTATTATTTCTCTCTCATTCACTCACACACACATATCTGTATAATCATTCTTCTTCTTAATTTTATTCATAATTTCATTTCTATAGTTCTCCCAAATTTTAAGATTAAGAGATTTCATAAAACTAAAAGCTATACATTAAAAAAAGTTCCTAAGACTAAAGGGTTTCAGACACCATACCATTTTTTTTTTTTTTTTTTGATTGAAGCATTCTAATCTTCTTTTAATGAAAGGAATTGATTAGTGCAATAGTATGTTGTGCAGTGTTTCGACTTCGTTTTTATTGTGATAGGCAAAGATCCTTGTACTTCTGTGCTCTTACATTATTAATATATAATGAAGGATTTATTAACAAGTAAAAAATCTGAGAATTGATGATGAAACAACTGCTATGGAATATGTAAACTGAGTAATTTATAAAAATGGATGACATTCTAACTGAATAAACCTTTATACGAAGTACTCTCATGCCCCCATATCCACAGCTGTTCAGAGATGCAGAAAAAGAAATTACAATAAGTTTCATAAGTTTTTTGATGAAAACAAATGGCAACAGACTGTAAATACCTAAAATACTTTACTTCAGACACACACAATGTTATTGTCCTACACATTTTATTCAGATTGATGTAACTAAATACAAGAAATTGAAAACATTATAACAGAGCTTTACATATATTCTCAGTTTATAAGAAACTCTTAAAACTCTGAACTTGCATCTCAGTGATAAGTTAGTAAGAAATCAAAGGTCCGAAATTATTTGGCTTATCTTTCATTTCTGTTTCCATATTTCTTCTTTTCAAACTTTCTTCCATGCTTGCTTCTAACATTCATACTATTCACATTAATAATGTGTTATTAAAGCTTTACAATTCTATAAAGTTATTTTTTTAATTTTTTTTTTTAATTCCACAGTGTGGGCTTTTAACACATAAGATTTATGATTCTACAAGTGCTTGGAAACTACTAATGTGTTATTAGGAATAAGAAAATGAATGCTTGTTATTTCTACCACATACAGTAAGAACCTTTTTTTTTTTTAAAAAATTCACTTTTCTTTTGTGGATTAAATTAAAATGTTAATGTTTTATTTTTGTAAGTAAAAAAATATTCTAATACACAATATATTTTATATTACTTTACTAATAATATAGTATATACTGTACTGCAGTATGCAGAACACTATATTATTAATATTATTACTTTATTTCATAATGCTAGTATCTTATATAGACTATCAATGTAACTGTAATTATGTATGTTATTTGAATATCCTGTATTATATACAATGTTCATAATTATTTGCAGTTTCGCATACCTGCAGTAAATTTTGGAACATATTACTCATGGATATGGGAACACTACTGTGACATTATGGCTATAGTATTACATTAATATGGATAAAAAAGGGCAATGACTGAATTAGGTTTTTTAACACAAAAATCACAGATAAAATACTACTTAAGTTTAGTACAATGCACTCTTTGAACTTATACAGCTTAGTATGAATGAACAAAATTTTTTTCAGTTTTCAATGAAAACAGAAAGTAGTGATTCTTGCTATTGAAGCACACATTTATATTTATAACTTATAATTATTATTAATAGATAGTGATTGCATATGTAAATATATTACACTTCACACTAAATGAAACTTGCATATATATTGCAGTTGTCTGATGTTCTTGCTATTCGACCTTGCCATTTTATGGGTAACTGCCACTTATAAAATGACATTTCTTCCAATCACAGTCAAGGATATGACTAAAAATTGAGAACTTCAGTATGAATACAATTGAAGAGAAGCATCATCATCATAAAATGATAAAAGGAAGTCGCAGAAAATAGTTGAAATCACTTCCAACTTACATATGAAGGCATTATAAACTGATTTTGGTTCATTTTACAGTAATTAAAATTGCTAATCTCAGCTGTCAGACATAGCAAATACAAGCACAAAATATCATTTAATATAAATATTAGAAACAAAATGTACAATTCACAGATAAGCGTTTAAATTCAGTGCAAAAGATAGATTTATTTCTTAATTATCTAACATGAATTAATTCAGATTCATACAAAATATCTGTTAGTTATGTGTTTAAAATAATTATAAAACTAGCAGACTGATAATAAAATTCAAACCTTTATATGTATATATTTATTATTAATTAAGGTTTTACAACAGAAAACCATCTCCCATCCCCCATTATGCCCTAGTCATGATTAATAATGACTATACAGAATATAAATGCTACGAATTATGTGAAGAATATACTTTAAAACTCGCAATTCATTTTAATGCAAATTTATATATACTAATTTTTATAAACCACCTGAAATTTTGTAACATACTTTTGTTTTCTTTTAACTACATCGATAACTAAAATTATGATTTAATTTTATGTATTCAGATTTACATAGGAAACATTAAATATATCTAATGATCTGTCAATTAAGTTTTGAATTCACTATAAATTTTCTTCAATTATCCTTTCGACATAGCAAAATATGATTTACATTCACCAACAGTATATAAAAGGATATATATCTCACTCATAGGCTACAGTGCTTTGTTTGATAGTATAACAAGTAGGTTACAATACTCATTTAAGTTTGACAGTTGTGACAATGAACACTAGTATAGGAATGTTATATGAATATTTATTTCATATTTTATATAAAAGTGTAGTTAGTCATTTCAATTACCATATTTAATTATTTTAATTCCTTGTATAATCTACCATTAGTTTTATATTTTTATATTATGAGAAGATTTCTCAAAATATTCGTAAACTGAGGAATATTTTTAAATTTTCACACGGTTTATAAACATGTTACACTATGAAAGACCATAACTTTCTTCTGAGGAAATGTTTATTTTATCTACATACTGCGTTTTATTGTATATAATCATATGCTTGTGTTCTTATTTTAGTATAGAAAGAATTAAAATGTTCCAGTCACAAGTTACTGAATATTTATGCAGAAGTCCACATTGGTACTGAAGTTTAAAAAGAACTATCTGCATAAGCATTTAAGAATGACCTATAAATACTATGATGCCTGAATACTTTTTGGATCGTTATAGATTGCATAAAAGTATGCACATTATAAAGAAGTATCAAACTTATGAATCTTATATTTTATATATAAAATAACTTCAGGAAATGCCTTGAACTTTCCTTTTCAATAGCATGAATACTGTGCTCTTATACAAGATAACAGCTAATAATGTAATATAAAACAAAAATTTTAGGCAAGGTAGTGAAAGGATTATATATAATTTCCAAGTAACTTATTCTTTATTAATAAGTTAACATACATAATAAATACTTGTAATGAAAGCATTAGATATGCCAGTGTTAGACAAATTTCCTTTGAATCCTTCATTATGAGGAAGTTATATAAGCCTAAATAAGTAACAGAATGTTTAAACACAATATCTGACATAATTTCATTCTGTAAATTGGAATTCTGAACTTCAGGTTTTATGATTAGTTCCATCCCATTTTTAAATGATTGTAAATTTTTCATAGATGAACTAATTCTGTTGCAACTCATCCTTTAAACACTTCATTTCTTGATAGTTTACTCAGTTAAAACGCCAAGCAATCACTAGCATTCTAGGTGTGTTTCCTTAGATGAACTGATGCATTTGTTACAACTGTAAAAACATTACTGAGCACAATGGAGATTGTTGCCCCCAATTAATATAAACTGCATAGTTATATTCAGGATATCTCTTCCACAGCCCCTGTTCAGGGAATATTATAGTAACATGATCTGAGCTACCAGCGGGTCAAATCAGCTTTAAACAGCAAATATAGATGGAGTATTAAACTTATACTTTAAAAAATGATTACAAATTTTTGATTTAAAACAAATGAAATCCAAATAAACTGATTGTCACATTCTACATTATTGTACAATTTCCAAGCCAAAATAACAAAATTTAAAACATACTTTAAAATTCTTAAATTATTGAAATTTTTTTTTCAAAATTAAAAGTTTTTTTTTAATATATACATTAAAAGGTTACAAATGACACCATTATATATAATGGTGGGTCATATGTATAATCACCAGAAAACTGAACAGGCTGTAATGTGTATTATACCAGTTAATTATACCATGTGTTATAATCATGTATATTGCACCAGTTAACCCTTTTGTCTATTATAAGTATCTACATTTAATATGTGGGTAAGACATATTCAGACAGGAAATATATTCACAAGAAGTTTAAATGATCTGATACACTTTTACTGACATTAAATATAGCTTTGCTTCAAAAATTTTGAATACAATTTTTTTCTATGAAAATTATCATTGATTTTATATTTTAAAAGATTTTTTTCCCTTCATTTCAAAATTCCAAATTAGCATAGTCATTTTTATCTGGTCATGAAGTTTGTTTCCACTTTATATACACAACCTTGTTCTTTAAAACATTTTGCTTGTTTAGCTTCTTTAGTTATCTGGAAATCATTCTCATGATCAAATCTGAAGCATTAATGACGAAATATGAAACAAATAATAAAATAAATCAACATATAAATCAAGGCACTAAATGCAATGTAAACACAGCATTTCACAAATAGATTGAAAACTTATCGATTAACATAGGATTAATTAAGATGCTCTTTAGTAATTCATAAAGTAAAATAATGATGATAAAATCAATCTCAAAACTCAAAAATGATATTACATTTTAAAAATTAATTTATAAAATATGAAAATAAAATTAATTTAAACCAGTTTGATTAAGCTCTAATGCCTTCCTCACAGCAATGGATATAAAACTCACTTGTGCATTTAGAAAAGAAATCATCTAACTACCTTGATTTTCATATATTATTTCTAATAAGCTATGTAATTTTTCTTATACAATACAGATAAACTAAATATTTTTAGAGATATTCTTACCCTAAGTTTTAATTATGATTTAAAAGCAATTTATGCAATAATTTATTTATAAAAATAGTCATAGAAAGAATTTATCTTCCTCCAAGAGCAATTAATTTGTTGTTTAAAAAATGATTCTAATTCACTACTTGGAACAATTTAACACTTTACACTTTTTCCATCCTTTTCTCTAAAAAGACAGCTTTTGTTCAGATAGGAAAATCCATGCAGTAGAATCCACTTAATTATTTCTGTTGAAATTATTTTACAGTCAAAATATCTAAACGTTATAAATACGTCAAAATCTATTTCAAATGTACTTCCCAATTCATTAATTCCAGTTAAAAATTTACTTACATATGTAAGACATCAGGAAACATTAAATTACATTTCAATAAATATCAACTAACCAATCTTTAATGTTATGTTGCTGGAATCTAGCATCGTAGATCCTTGACTTATTTTGCCTCATGCACCTCTTTCACAGCTGGTAGAAGATTATTTTCTCCTCTTCTTCCCAAATTCGAAAAATACATATACACATTTATTAAAATTATTTTTTAATGTGCCTTATAAAATAAATAACAAAAAGTATAGAAAAAGTTGATAAAAATAGTTTTTTACCTTCCTAAACTAAAACTAATACCTAACAGCCAAATAAAAGGCTCAGTGCATTCTCCCCTTGAAGCCATAAAATCCCTTCCTGCTTCAGAGCCCCTGAGTTCAATAGTCAGACATTAATAACTATATGTTAAAAACTTTAAAGATACTAGTAAAGAAGTTACTGACAAAAGACACTGCATAAAAATAATTACAGACAAAGCACACCCACTTTAAAATTAGCTAAAATTCAAATATTTTGGATTGAAATGCAAAAATAATTTAAATAACTTAATTCAGAACTTTTATATTCGATTCATCCAAACACTTAATATGGAATTTTGAAAGTAAATTATAATATTAAAATATGAAATATTTTTCTGCATGTAGAACAACTACATATTTAATGATATATTATAGTACATTTTAGAACGCATGTAAGAAAATTACCATAAGCTCTGGAAATCCTTAAAAAAGGGGGGGGGATAACAAGACTACATATAGAAATAATTTTCTAACTGAATTTTCCACCAAACATACAACATCAGTCTTGTACAAAAAATACACTTAACATACGAACATATGAATTCAAATTAAAATGAACTAATCAGTTGGAAACAAAATGTAACAATAAATTAAATTTTACATTAAATACAAAATATTTTCACGTAAATGCTATCTTAATTCACATTTTCTTATCATTTTAAAAATACCTGATCTGAACACAATGTTTGACATTTCATTACAGTTACATATACTATAATTCATTTAAAATGTTGTGAACTAAAATTTTTCATTTTACTTAAAAATATTTTTCATTTTTATCACAATATGCTCAATTATACATATACATACTTTTCTTTCTAGAGTTAATTATTGCATACGCTTTTTCATACATATTTCTTGCAACATTTAATTGTGCACATTTATTTGGATTACTCCTTTGTCATTTGATTATATATCCCACATGCTACAGAAATGCAATCATTAGACATTTAAATAAAATACAAAACTCTAAAGATTGCTTACTTGAGCACATTCAGACTGTACATTGATAGTTCTGTATTAAGAGGATTCAACAACATAGAAGCAACATAAATGAACTTAACAAAGATAAATTTCACATAAGAAATATTCATGACATCATAACAGGCCTCCAACTTAAAAAAAAAAAAAAAAAAAAAAAAAAAAAAAAAAAAAAAAAAAACCTCCCAAAATGGATTAGTGATCTAATCCTTTGAAGAAATTAAGTGGATTTCACTCTACATGTACCTGTAATCTGTATAGTAATATACATTTTTCAAATGTCTACAGCACACGTTTTAATCTTCGTATATATAATGGGGTTAGAATCCAAGTTATTCTACCACCATAAAAATTCTCCAGTGCTTAATGCAAATCACAGATAAACTACCTAATTTTGACTAGATTCTTGTAGATGCTAATACCCAAAATGTCATGTCTGTTACGAAAATAGCATTGTAAAAGGATGTTTGGCACTTGTGGCATCAGCACAGAGTGATCTCAGTAACAAACGAGTTTTATTTATCATATAATTTTGTTAGCTTTTTCAAAGGAAAGATAAGTCAAATGACTTCCATCTACAAGTCGTTGCTATTTCACAGTTGTTATATTATCAGGTGGCTGAATGGTAGCTGTTGAAGTAGTTGAAGTTGTTCTTTGATTTCGGAATACTGTATTTTGTAGAGTTCGCTTCCAGCGATCCATAGTGTCACGTAATTTTGATAACCAAAGAGCCTGTAAAAAATATGGCAATAATTTGCTTAGCTCAGTACTTAAATTATACACAGTAAAAATTATTCTTATAATTTCAAATCTAAATGCTTAAAGCACACTGACGAATTAATATTTTTATAACTATTAAATTTAAAATTCAAAGAAAAAATGAAAAAGTCTCACATTATCAAATGCTGTTGAAACAGATACAAAAATTAGTTGCATTTGTATTCACAAGTAATCTGTAACATCACACATAATAATTTATCATTTAAAAAAATAGTAATTCTTTAAAACATGTTTTCAAAGCAAATTGTCAAGTTTATATAGCTCAACAATCATGTCTGGTTTTATTTATATTCAACTTAAAGGAATATGATCTGTCAAAAGACACAAGATACTTCAAGATAATGATTTCAAATTAATTTAAAGCAGTTAGAAATTTTTAAATCAAGAATTCTGACCAACCAAATGAGTGCAGTCTCTTACACAACAGTTAATGTTCATTCATTTGTTTAGACCAGGGGTGCATAACATGCGGCCTACCGAGTGATTTTTTTGTGGCCCGTCATTGATCTTTTAATAATGTAGCTGGCACCCAGAAAAAGGAATTGATTAAAACTACAAAACATGTTGAGTACATCTTGGTTGTTTTAAACAAAATTTATATTTGTAGGAAAAAATTAATTCTGTTGCAAGGACAAAAATACTGTTAATGCTTTTACAAAAATTCAACAAAATTTCTCCAGTTGAGTTAATAAAATCTTTTTAAAAAAAATTTTACAGTATTTTCATAATTCAATTTTGTAATTGTAGCAAAATTTTGATTGCTGTGTGCGATTCCATGTAACTGGATATGCAATTTATATACACAAAAAAGTTGTGCTGTTAAAAAAAAAAAAAAGAAAGAAAGAAAAAAAAGAAAAAAAGGTTTTTCAGCTGCTAAAAGAGTGAGTGATAAGTGAGCCGAGAACCAAAAGAGTGATAAGTGAGACAGTGCTACTACTACCAAAACATGTTTTCCCGCTTTCTAAGTAAGTTTCATTTTAACATAATTCAAGAGCTTTTTTTCTCATTGAAGTTGTGAAAGTTAAAAAAGTTAGAAATTAAATTATTTGGTACAATCTGATTATATAGTTAAGATAAGATGATAGAATTCCAAATTTTAATTTTCTCATTTATATTTTGAATTGTGTGCTTATTTACAATAAATGAACTCTCTTTTCTGATTTTCAAATGATGTAAACTTGTGAATCATTGTATGAAATTGTGTAAATATTAATATTTATATTAAAAGTCAGTATCAAAATAGTACATTATTTTTTTAAGTTTTTGATTACTTTTATATGTAATTAATATAAGTGTATCTTTGGGTTGATATTTTTTAAACATAATAATAAGAGTTACATTTAAAATATTTATTTTAAAGATGACATTCAATTATTTTCTAAACTTCTCTCTGAAAATTTCAGTGTATGATTAAAAATAATATTAATAATAATTTGAATCCTGCAATCCTTTTTTTAGAAAATACTAAAAAAAGTTTTAGTCTCTGGTTTGAGTTATTATTGTATAAATTTAATACCCATACACAATTTTATATAAATTTAAAACCATTCCTAATATTATTGTTATTAGTTACTCAGTGAATTACAGGTAACCATTTAAAATTATTGATTGTTAAAAAAAAAGGAACTCAAATATTTGATGTTTCTGTTTTCGTTTACAATGCACACATGCACACACACATAAAAGCATATTATCTATGCATGTGTAACTAATTAAAATTTTTTTCTTTCTTTTAACATATGTACACATTTTAGTATATAGCCTCATTTATGTTTTCATGTTATAATTACATTACAGATGCCCTAGAATTGTGATGAAATTTAATTAATATGCAAGTGGTTATTAACATTTAAATTACACTGTTTATTTAATTGTATATATTTTACTATATTATTTAAAAGATAAATGTACCGATTTTTTACTTTACTTTTTTTTTTGTTTTGAAATTTGATGAAATAATTAAACAAAAACAATATTTTTTTGCTTTATTATCATACTTTTGTTTTCTAAAAATTTTCTAAATGCAAACCCTAAAATTTCAAAAGCATATTTTTCAATTATTTTTTCCTAAAAAATTTTCTGTTTTCACATTTCAACTTTTAAAAAAAGAGGCATTTTTAATGGGCCTGTGCATTGCTACTCCAATTTAGTTCAAATTTTATTGAGTCTTACATATTTATAGTTTGTATTTAATTACATATTGGTGTAATGCATTTCATCAATTTATTTTTAATTCTAAATAATACTTATTTAAACTCATTTTTTCTATTAATAGAGATGTCATTACAACATAAAATGAAAATAGAATCCGAAGGAAGAACATTAAATCTCAATTGGACAGACATATTTTTTTTAATTGAATTTAAAAACAAATATATTTGCCTATACTGCTGTGAGACAGTGTCAGTAGCCAAAGAATATAACATATGAAGACATTTTGAAACAAAACGTCTAGATAAGTGTACGTTGAAAATTGAAGAGTTAAAAAAGAATATAAAAGGGGAACAAAACGTATTTCAAAATTTTAGTTGAAAAGCTGATATGCCAATTTTAGTTAGCTATAAAATGTCATGAGAAATTGCTGTTACTAATCCGCCATTTACTGATTGCAAATTTGGGAAAAAGTGTCTGTTAATTTCTATGAAGTGTATTTGCCCTGATAAAAAGAAAGACTGAACACATTTCTCTCTCAAGAATGTTAATACAATGAAGAATTTCTGATATTTCATCACACCTTTTTGAACAACTGAAAGGTAATATGTCCGATTCTAAATATTTTTCAATAGTAATTGATAGTAAAGACATAAAAGATACTGTCCAACTTTTAGTTTTTATCCATAGTATTACAGACAAGTTTGAAATTTTTGAGGAACTTGCAAATGTTTGCCCAATGAAAAGTTGAACAATGGGGGAAGACATACCCAATGAATTGACTGATTCAATTGATAAGATTAATCTGCTCTGGGAAAAGCTCATTGGGATATGTACAGATCGTGTTCCTGCTATGGTTGGAAAACATATTAGAGCCACTATTTTAATTGAGAAACACTGTAAAAACAAGGTTAGAAAATATCATTACATTATAAACCAATAATCCTTGCATTAAATAATTTTGCCATATTAACATACTGTTTTCCACAGTGATACAAACAATCAACTTATCTTAAGGGACGAGGGTTTAAACATGAGCTTTTCAAACATTCCTTGAAGAAACAGGAACCATTTATACTGATTTAATTTATTACACTAAAGTGCTATGGATTAGCTGCAGTAATATGTTGTGCTGATTTGTAGCGTTAGACGATGAAATCATAGAATTTTTGGAAGATCATAAAATGTTTAAGAGACTCAATACCTTTTGAGTGATTTTTTTTATTTAAGAACTTTACTTTTTCTGAATATTATTAAGTGTTTTTGCATGACAAAATGATTTTAAGCTGAAAGAAATTTTTTGGCCAGTAATTATTTTTTAATTAAAATTTTTTGAAGAAAAATTTAACAACTGAAATGTTTTTCTCCTCCTATAATTTTCAATGTTTTTGCCCCAATTTTTTATTTTATTCAATAGAATATTCTTAATAACTTTTAAGAATCTATTTTTGCAATCAACGAATTAGTTTCTCAGAAAAAAAATAGAAAGCATATTTTTATGTAAAAACTTAAAAAAATTTGATCTCAATCATATTTTCACTTCCAATAACTTTTCTTTTCCCTGTTTTGTAAAATGCATCCTTTTTTTTTACTAAGTATATAATTTTAGACAAGCAGTAAAAATATTAAATAATTTAGTCCATATCTGTATAAGTTTTAGCACTTTAAGTAAAAGTAAGTAAACATTGAAAAAATGCAAACTGAGAAAACACAGTTTAAAGAATATAAACTGTCTGAATGGTCATTAAATCAATTCAATCAATAAAATTATTTCAAGTTTCTTAAAAATTTTGTTACTGAATTTCAATACATATTAGTGCCTAAAATATTTTAATAGTTTTACAAATTAAGTATTAGAACTAGCACCACAAAGACAAGTTTTCCTTTATAAACTTTAATTTAGGCTAGCACCCTAATTACTTTTAATTATGACATTTAAAAATTTTAGTTTTAACATTTCTTAAATTCTTTGTAAAATTTAATGGATTATTTGAAATTTATTAATTATGAATTTAAATTTTTGGTCTTTGTGAAAAATTAGTTCTAAATTTCTTATTTTATGTCTTTACTAATAATTTTTCAGCAGCTTATTGCACGAAAATACTAAGCATGTTTATATTTTGTTTTTAAAAAAACTGTTTTGCAATTATATATATAAAAACCAAGTCCTATTCAATTAGTTAATATAAACATACATTACAAGCTTTCATTTAAAATTTTATCTGGCCAGAAATATTGAAAAAAAATCATAAAATGCAAGTAGAATTTTTCTTTTATCTGTTTTTGGTTTTTAAAACACATTCAAAACAATTTTAATACATGAATTAATTATAATATATGTAGAGCTTCAGCACAACAATTGGAAAGCTGATTTATAATTTCTTGCCGATCTTATGGGTCATATTAATGAGTTGAATAAAACACTGCAAGGAAAGGAAAACATCATGTTTACAATGTACAACTCGGTGAAAGCTTCCTAAGTTAGTTTCCTAAGAAAGTTTCAGTTTACAGTTTTGGTTTAGAATTAATTTGAATGGACGAGAGGCATCTTCATTAAAACGTCACATAAGATAGAAAAGTCTGGAACCTGTGAGAAGAGATGAATTTAGGGGTAGATCATCAAATTTAGAATGTTAATTTTGAGGTCGTCAATTATTTTTTTGAAACAGCTTTCATACTTTGTTATATCTTACATATCCCCCCTCAAAAGAAAGGTTGTGTGAGCAGAGTGGAAGAAAAAGCAATTACAGCAGCAAAATGTCAAAGATATAATTTTGAAATACAAATAGATATAATTTTGA